AAGGATGACTTTGGTCCTCCTGAGTTCACCTTCAGTGGTGGGATTACAGGCATGTGCCTGATGGGGGAAGTCTTGTGTACATATGTTTCTCTTATTGGTTGATGCATAAAATACTGTTATCCAATAGGGAAGCAAGATAAGCAGACTAGGAGACAAGGAGGATTCTGGGAGGTGTAGACACAGTGAGTCACCATGTAGGCAGTGAGAGGAGTAACGTGTCTCCAGACATTCCCCGGTAAGAGAAGACCACATGGAAATACTTAGACTGATAGAAATGGGTTAGAAATTAAGTAAGAGCTAGCCAATAAGAAGCCCTAAACACTGGCCAACAGTTTCATAATTAATATAGTGCCTCGTGTGTTATTTGGGGGCTCAAGTGACTGCAGAACCAAGTGGGAATCCCATAACATAATGGCGCCTACAACATGGACATAAGAACTTCCACTTACAATCTCACAAAAAACTTAAAAAGGGATTTTAGAAACCAAAGAACAGAGGCAAGCACAGCTTCTTGGTAGCAGCATTTTCTCGGGTGAGCTCTGTTTCCCAGGCATTGAGAGACACTCCTCAACTCCTTTAAGAGCAGCTCCCTGATCTGCATAAGTGACCAAAACTGCAGCTGTTAGCAAGCAGACTCATTTGGTTAAAAAAGATAAAGATTTACAATAAGCAAAAATATGCATAGTCTTGGGAGAAAAAATAAAAAATAAATATTAAGTGACCAACACTGTACCACCACCACCACCACCACCCCCATTTTAGCAGCCATGACAGGCTAACATGTGCTCCACGACTTTGCCGCTCCTGTCCTGGTCATTAGGAAGTCAGATGCCCTCCTCAGGCAAGGAACCAATCAGAAGTTAGCTTTCAAGGCTGTGCTTTACAGCTCTTGGTGTGCTTTATGGACAAGTGCACAACAGTGATGTGCAGAGCATAGCAATCACCCTGGGAGGGCCTATGGGCCATAACAACCAGTTGACCAATAGCACAGGGCAGGTCGTCCAAACCTGGAAGCCCACCAATCCTGAGACTGTTGCAGACCCCTAGACACTCCCCTTACGCTGCCCTTTAAGATCTCTGCCTCATGGTTTCTCGTGGTCTTTCTCCAGCCATCTGCTGCAGTGAATGGATGAAAGGCCCAAGCTAATGGGTTTAGCTCATTAAACAACTACAATAAAAGACTCTGTTTTTGCATCGAAATGGGCCTCTTGGTGATTTTGGGGTTCAGAATCTGGTCACAATAAATAAAGTAGCTGGGCAATGGTGACACATGCCTTTAATCCTAGTAGTCCAGAGGCAGAGACAGACAGATTTCTGTAATTGAAGGCCAGCCTGGTGTAGAAAGACCTTTGCACCACCTGCATGCAGACTACATAGTGATGTACCAGTCATAGAATCCCTGACGCATCAGGATACTGCCTGAGTGCATCCTGCCAGATGACAGGGGGTAGGCCAGCATAATGCCTGAATCCCAACAGAAATAACTGAAGACTCTAAAAAACATTCCTAAAGTAGCCCTCATATGTTTTGTACTCAATTACCCCAGATATCAATACATGATCACTGGTATCATACAAAGCACAGTCTGTCTGCCTTACCTGTAGAGTGAAACTTAGTACTCCGCCATTAGCTATGTGGCATGTTAAAGGCGCATACAGATGAGGCAATAAAAGGACAGTTTACCACACCGCTAACCACACCTACTTTAGGCGTGACTAAAGACGTATACGGATGTAGGCGGTGAACTACATCACTAGCCAGGCCCAATTTTGGGCGTGTACAGACGCAGGAATAAAAGACTGAGCAGCAGAACATCTCTCCCTTTTTCCGGCTTCCAGTTCGGCGGTGGAAAAATACTCAGCTCATCTGGGTTGCTTGTGTTTCTCTTGTGAGTAATTTCTACAACAAGTACTTGCCTATACTCTCAGTAAGTGTGCCATTTATCATTGCAGCGAGTAATTTCTACAATAAGTACTCACCTATACTCTCAGTAAGTGGCCCTTTATCATTGCAGCAAGTAATTTCTACAATAAATACTCACCTATACTCTCAGTAAGTGGCCCTTTATCATTGCAGCGAGTAATTTCTACAATAAATACTCACCTATACTCTCAGTAAGTGGCCCTTTATCATTGCAGCGAGTAATTTCTACAATAAGTACTCACCTATACTCTCAGTAAGTGTGCCGTTTATCATTGCAGCGAGTAATCTCTACAATAAATACTCACCTATACTCTCAGTAAATGGCCGTTTATCATTGCAGCGAGTAATCTCTACAATAAATACTCACCTATACTCTCAGTAAGTGTGCCGTTTATCATTGCAGCGAGTAATCTCTACAATAAGTACTCACCTATACTCTCAGTAAGTGGCCCTTTATCATTGCAGCGAGTAATCTCTACAATAAGTACTCACCTATACTCTCAGTAAGTGGCCCTTTATCATTGCAGCGAGTAATCTCTACAATAAATACTCACCTATACTCTCAGTAAATGGCCGTTTATCATTGCAGCGAGTAATCTCTACAATAAGTACTCACCTATACTCTCAGTAAGTGCCGTTTATCATTGCAGCGAGTAATCTCTACAATAAGTACTCACCTATACTCTCAGTAAGTGGCCGTTTATCATTGCAGCGAGTAATCTCTACAATAAGTACTCACCTATACTCTCAGTAAATGGCCGTTTATCATTGCAGCGAGTAATCTCTACAATAAGTACTCACCTATACTCTCAGTAAGTGGCCCTTTATCATTGCAAAGAGTAATCTCTACAATAAATACTCACCTATACTCTCAGTAAGTGGCCCTTTATCATTGCAGCGAGTAATCTCTACAATAAGTACTCACCTATACTCTCAGTAAGTGCCGTTTATCATTGCAGCGAGTAATCTCTACAATAAGTACTCACCTATACTCTCAGTAAGTGGCCGTTTATCATTGCAGCGAGTAATCTCTACAATAAGTACTCACCTATACTCTCAGTAAATGGCCGTTTATCATTGCAGCGAGTAATCTCTACAATAAGTACTCACCTATACTCTCAGTAAGTGGCCCTTTATCATTGCAAAGAGTAATCTCTACAATAAATACTCACCTATACTCTCAGTAAGTGGCCCTTTATCATTGCAGCGAGTAATCGCTACAATAAGTACTCACCTATACTCTCAGTAAGTGCCGTTTATCATTGCAGCGAGTAATCTCTACAATAAGTACTCACCTATACTCTCAGTAAGTGGCCGTTTATCATTGCAGCGGGTAATCTCTACAATAAGTACTCACCTATACTCTCAATAAGTGGCCCTTTATCATTGCAAAGAGTAATCTCTACAATAAGTACTCACCTATACTCTCAGTAAGTGGCCCTTTATCATTGCAGCGAGTAATCTCTACAATAAGTACTCACCTATACTCTCAGTAAGTGCCGTTTATCATTGCAGCGAGTAATCTCTACAATAAGTACTCACCTATACTCTCAGTAAGTGTGCCGTTTATCATTGCAGCGAGTAATCTCTACAATAAATACTCACCTATACTCTCAGTAAATGGCCGTTTATCATTGCAGCGAGTAATCTCTACAATAAATACTCACCTATACTCTCAGTAAGTGCCGTTTATCATTGCAGCGAGTAATCTCTACAATAAGTACTCACCTATACTCTCAGTAAGTGGCCGTTTATCATTGCAGCGAGTAATCTCTACAATAAGTACTCACCTATACTCTCAGTAAGTGGCCCTTTATCATTGCAAAGAGTAATCTCTACAATAAGTACTCACCTATACTCTCAGTAAGTGGCCCTTTATCATTGCAAAGAGTAATCTCTACAATAAGTACTCACCTATACTCTCAGTAAGTGCCGTTTATCATTGCAGCGAGTAATCTCTACAATAAGTACTCACCTATACTCTCAGTAAGTGCCGTTTATCATTGCAGCGAGTAATCTCTACAATAAGTACTCACCTATACTCTCAGTAAGTGTGCCGTTTATCATTGCAGCGAGTAATCTCTACAATAAATACTCACCTATACTCTCAGTAAATGGCCGTTTATCATTGCAGCGAGTAATCTCTACAATAAATACTCACCTATACTCTCAGTAAGTGCCGTTTATCATTGCAGCGAGTAATCTCTACAATAAGTACTCACCTATACTCTCAGTAAGTGTGCCGTTTATCATTGCAGCGAGTAATCTCTACAATAAATACTCACCTATACTCTCAGTAAATGGCCGTTTATCATTGCAGCGAGTAATCTCTACAATAAATACTCACCTATACTCTCAGTAAGTGCCGTTTATCATTGCAGCGAGTAATCTCTACAATAAGTACTCACCTATACTCTCAGTAAGTGGCCGTTTATCATTGCAGCGAGTAATCTCTACAATAAGTACTCACCTATACTCTCAGTAAGTGGCCCTTTATCATTGCAAAGAGTAATCTCTACAATAAGTACTCACCTATACTCTCAGTAAGTGGCCCTTTATCATTGCAGCGAGTAATCTCTACAATAAGTACTCACCTATACTCTCAGTAAGTGCCGTTTATCATTGCAGCGAGTAATCTCTACAATAAGTACTCACCTATACTCTCAGTAAGTGTGCCGTTTATCATTGCAGCGAGTAATCTCTACAATAAGTACTCACCTATACTCTCAGTAAGTGTGCCGTTTATCATTGCAGCGAGTAATTTCTACAATAAATACTCACCTATACTCTCAGTAAGTGGCCCTTTATCATTGCAGCGAGTAATTTCTACAATAAGTACTCACCTATACTCTCAGTAAGTGTGCCGTTTATCATTGCAGCGAGTAATCTCTACAATAAATACTCACCTATACTCTCAGTAAGTGGCCCTTTATCATTGCAGCGAGTAATTTCTACAATAAATACTCACCTATACTCTCAGTAAGTGGCCCTTTATCATTGCAGCGAGTAATTTCTACAATAAATACTCACCTATACTCTCAGTAAGTGGCCCTTTATCATTGCAGCGAGTAATTTCTACAATAAGTACTCACCTATACTCTCAATAAGTGTGCCGTTTATCATTGCAGCGAGTAATTTCTACAATAAATACTCACCTATACTCTCAGTAAGTGGCCCTTTATCATTGCAGCGAGTAATCTCTACAATAAGTACTCACCTATACTCTCAGTAAGTGGCCCTTTATCATTGCAGCGAGTAATCTCTACAATAAATACTCACCTATACTCTCAGTAAGTGGCCCTTTATCATTGCAGCGAGTAATCTCTACAATAAATACTCACCTATACTCTCAGTAAGTGGCCCTTTATCATTGCAGAATCATTTGGTGTCGGAAGTTCTGGAACCCAGATCCAGGCGCCCTGAAAGCGGCTGCTCTCAGCCCAACCACCGCTGGCTCCAGGCACATGTGAATTCCTTTCGCTAAGTTCCTAGTACAAAGAATTCAGAAAATGGAAAATTCCTTGCAGGATAGTAAGGAAGGTTTGGTAAAAACATATTCAGGATATTCAAAATCATAATGTAGATCTGACAAACAGGTATAAAGAGACAGAACATAAAATTTAATTACTTTCAGGAAAAATGTGTTCCATATCTATCAATTCAACAGACAGAATAGAAAAAGTGAAATATAATGTTGAAACATTTAACTGACAAAACTGTTCCGTGTTTGATGATTTCACTAGCATACTACAAAGACTGGAACATAAGATTGAAATGCTAACAGAAAAGATTTGTTCCATGTCTGAGAGCAATGGCAAACTAGCTGATAGAACGTTATTTCTGAAAGGCAGTTTACATGCCATTGAGATACTTTCTGAGGATGAGAATATTAAATATTTGGAATCACGTATAAATGAAGAATGCAAAAAATGAACGATTCACATTATATCCTTAGAAAATTATTCGACCGAAGAACTTCAAGAGCTCAGAGAAACAATGATAAATAGATTGCAGGTCTCAAAAGACGTCTAATCTGATACTTCAGAATCAGACATACAGGCATCAGGTCAGGACAGAGGTTTCCCTACACCTCTCAAATGCCAGAAAGATCTTCCTAAGGTTGTTATGCCCTCTCCTATGGTTTTCCCAGTATCTGTAACCAAAAATCCAGCAGTGAAAAAGCACCAAAATGGTTTTGTTGCTTATCAATGGGAACCTATACAGATGAAGGCCCTAAAGGGAATCAAGGAGGCCATTGTTTTGTATGGTCTTCATTCTCCCTATGTCAGAGAGCTCCTAACCTCATGGGCCACTGCAAATAGAGTAATCTGAAGAGACTGGGCCAAATTGGCCTAGGCAGTGCTTGAAAATTCATATTAAATTCAATGGAGAACTTTATGAAGGCAAGAGGCAAAAGCCCTAGAGATTCAGGGATTAAAGAACAGTTATGAAGCGCCCCAAGTCAAGATTCTTGGGGAGGGTGCTTATGCTGACACGCAGGTTCAGTCCACATATGACAAGCGCATGTTATCTTTATGCTGTACAGCCGCTTTGAATGCTTTGGATAAGGTTTGTGAAACAGGAGAGATAATGCAACCCTATACCAAGGTAGTACAGGGCCCAAGGGAAAGGTTCACTGAACTTTTAGAAAGATTGTCCAGAGCAATAGAAGTAGAAGTAACAAATCCAGAATCTAGGAGACTCCTTATAGAAACTTTTGCATATGAGAATGCAAATTCACAATGCAAGCAGGTACTTTGGCCATTAAAATAAGATCAGCGCCATTGGAGGAATGGGTCCTATATACAGCTAACCTTGAATGTAAAAGTCAGGATACGAGCCGGGCAGTGGTGGCGCACGCCTTTAATCCCAGCACTCGGGAGGCAGAGGCAGGCGGATCTCTGTGAGTTCGAGGCTGGGCTGGACCGATAGCCTCCTAAACAATACAGAGAAACCCTGTCTCGTAAAAACCAAAAAAAAAAAAAAGTCAGGATACAGGGGCTTGGGTAGGTGAAGCGATTTCTACAGGTTTGAGGAGGCACCAGGATGCCAAATGTCCGACCCGTGATGATATAGAGGCCTGGATAAGGGAGGCAATTTCCAAAAATTTCAACAGACATAAAGATATCACATGCTTTAACAGTGGTAAAATAGGACATCTGAGTATGAACTGTAGATGAAGCATTCCTAGAAATAATGCTTCTACCAAGAATGCTTCAGACAGAAGGCCTCAACCTTCTGGTCTCTGCAGGAGGTATGGAAAGGGCAAACATTGAACCAAGGAATGCTGATCGACTACAGACAGACAAAGTAGCCCTTTAGGGCCGGGAAACTGGTCCGAGGGCCTCATGAAGGCTCCGAAGTCCAAGATAGTCTGGTCATTCCCAGTGACAGTGGAGGACAGCCTTTCCCAGGACAATTACAAGATCCACTGCCCATTGTAAATAATACGGCGCTGGATAATACATTAGCTACAGAAGATGAATCAATTATATCAGGAGGAAATACAAAACGTATATTTTAGCAAACTTCTATGTAATATCGTAGACCCAAGTTACCAGTTAAAGTAAATAATACAGTGATTAATGGCATTTTAGACCCTGGAGCTGATGTCACCATTATAAATCAGAAGTCTTGGCCCCCGATTTGGCCTTTAAAAGAGGTAAACGTTCAATTCTTAGGGATTGGAACCCTATCTCAAGTTAAACAGAGCATTAGATGGATTGACTTTATTGGGCCAGAAGGACAGAGAGGATGGTTAAAGCCATATGTTGCAGATATTACTATAAACCTCTGGGGTCTTTATCTATTACAGCAATGGAAGACACAGATTAACATTCCTCCTGTATCAGATAGGAATTATAGACAAGCTCTTGGTGGTAGAAAGAATATAGTAAGACAGTACAGAAAACAGATGCCAAACATACAGGCTGTACAGAATCAGGATGCTAGTGCCAAACCAACAGAGCAACCAAAAGCTCTAACTTTAAAATGGCTAACAAATAAACCTGTCTGGGTAGATCAATGGCCTATGACATCTGAGAAGTTAGAGACGTTGGAGAAGTTAGTTCAGGAATATCTAGATGATGGAAATATTGGGGAATCAACTAGTGCATGGAATTCACCTGTTTTTGTCATCAAGAAGTCTGGGAACTGGAGAATGGTTACTAATCTTAGAGCCATCAACAAGGTAATTCAGCCTATGGGGTCGCTACAACCTGGGATGCCACTACCTTCTCTAATACCTAAGGATTGGCAAATTATAGTTATAGATTAACAAGATTGCTTCTTCACTATACTGTTACAAGAAAACGACAGAGAAAAGTTTGCCTTCACAGTACCTACCTATAATAATTCCCGACCGGTACAAAGATTCCAGTGGAAGGTGCTGCCTCGAGGTATGTTAAATTTAAGCCCAACTTTGTGTCAATATTTTGTGCATAAATCTCTAGAATAATTCATAAACAATTTCCACATTCGTTAATATATCATTATATGAATGACATATTACTGACTGAATCAAATAAGGATACTTTGAAAAAGGTGTTTGATGTAGTGAAGGAAACTTTGCCTCGCTGGGGATTACAAATTGCCCCAGAAAAAACACAAAAGGGAGATTCTATTAATTATTTAAGTTATAAAATAGACTCTCAAAAAATGAGACTGCAGAAATAACAGATCAGAAGAGATCGTTACCAAACACTTAATGATCTTCAAAAACTATTAGGAGAAATCTCTCAATTACAGACAATTATTGATATAGAAGGGCATGATTTAAAACATTTGAAAATGACTTTAAAAGGAGACAAAGACCTAAATAGCCCACGAGTACTATCAGCTGATGCTGAAAAGGAATTAGAATGGGTAGAAAAGAGAACATTAGAAGAACATGTGGACCGTGTGAATCCAAAACTGGACTGCATTATGGTTATTTTACCATCTAGAGAATATCTCTCAGGAATATTAATTCAGAGGAAGACATCATACTAGAATGGGTATTTCTGACACTTAAACAGAATAAAAAATTGAAAACATATACAGAAAATATCTCCGATTTGATATTAAAAGGTAAGTTAAGGCTTCATCAACTGACTGGGAAAGACGCAGCTGAAATTATTGTACCGTTAACTAATGAGGAAATCTCCTCCTTATAGAAGGATAATGAGTATTGGCAAATAGCTTGCAGTGACTTTTTGGGAACTATTAGTAACAACTATCCCAAAACAGAGAGAATCAAATTCATAAAGAAAACAATTTGGATTCTTCCACGTATAGTGAGACAAACACCTACTTCTGTAGTTCTTACCTTCTACACGGATGCAAACAAATCAGATAAGGCAGGATATAAATCAAGAAATATAAGTAAAGTAGTTCAAATCCCTTACAACTCTGTACAAAAGGCAGAGTTGTATGCCATTCTCATGGTATTTAAAGACTTTACAGAGCCTCTAAATATAGTTACGGATTCTCAGTATGCAGACAGAGTTGTCTTGCACATTGAGACTACAGAATTTGTTCCTGATGGCACAGAATTAACCTCATTGTTTTTACAATTACAGGAAAGCATCAGAAACAGGACTCATCCTATATATATGACACACATCAGGTCCCATAAAGCTCTGCCAGGTCCTCTGGTGCAAGGCAATGATGAAATTGATCGTTTATTAATAGGCAATGTTGGAAGCTTCAGAATTTCATAAGAAACACCATGTTAACAGCATAGGTTTAAAGAAGGATTTTTCTATCACCTGGCAACAAGCCAAAGAAATAGTAAGAAATTGCCCCACTTGCTCATTCTGCAATCAAACTCTGTTCCAGCAGGTTGTAATCCTAAAGGTATTCAAAGAAATGAACTTTGGCAAATGGATATATTTCACTTCCCAGAATTTGGCAGTCGGAAATATGTATACCATATCATAGACACATTCTCAGGCTTCCAATGGGCTACTGCTGCCCTCAGCTCTAAAAAGGCTGATTCTGTTATAACACACCTCTTAGAGGTGATGGCTGTTATGGGTATACCTAAAACAACAAAAACTGACAATGCTCCAGCATATGTCTCCAGTAAATTAGAACAATTTTTTCAAATATTATAATATGAAACATGTAACTGGTATACCTTACAATCCACAAGACAAGTAGTGGTTGAAAGATCTAACCGAACCTTAAAAGAGATGTTTCATAAACAGCCAGGGGGAACAAAGACCCCAAACACAGGTTACATAATGCTTTACTAATGTTGAACTTCCTTAATGCTAATGAAAAAGGACAAACTGCAGCAGAAAGACACTGGACTACAGAGAAGACTTCTGAACTGAACAAACCAGTGTATTTTAAGGATGTTATGACCTCAGTCTGGAAACCAGGATATGTGTTACGTTGGGGAAGGGGTTTTGCTTTTGTTTCCACAGGAGACGAAAAATTTTGGGTTCCATCAAAATTAATTAATATTCGATCCGAACAGAAGACATCTCAGGAGGAGGAAAGATAACAGCTCATCTACAAAATCATATTCTACCATGGGTAAAGTGACCTCATGAAAGGAAAGAGAAGTGTTTTGTTTGTTGTCTTCACAGGTAAACTCAGCAAAGAATACTGGACATATGGATTCCTGAAGAAGAATGAATAGCTACCCTGAGGACCATCAAACAAACAATAACTCACTGTGTGGTATCAAAGTCTAAATCTCTCTATTCTTTTCATAGTACCCTTTTATCTTTGTTTCTTCATATACTTCAGTCCCCATTCATTTAACTGAAGCTGGCTTTGGAGTTGGATTGGCTCTCCTACTCTAAATTCAAGCATATTATTTAAATACAATTCAGAATTTCTGTATTATATCAAAGAGCCATTGATATAAGACAGAAGAAAATAAAATTAGGGACTGTTATCTGTGGATTTCTTTTTCTGAAAAGTCTAACCTTCTTCATGTTTACCATCTTCCCTATTGTCACCTCTTCCGGTATGCATACATATAAAAGTTAAAATATTTCTTTGTTAACATTAATGTTTGAGTTTTCCAGAGAACAAGGGATTTCCTGACAGCAGAAAGAGAATGGGGATCCACTTCCTTGACTCCTCCTGATTCGACTGGATACATCTGAACTGCCCCACATCATCGACTCCACCTGACAAGCACGATCCTGAAGCCGACTTGGAACTACATTATTCCACACATCTCCAGACCAAAGAATGGATACAGTGCACCTTCTACAATCTGGCCAGAGCTTCACATGAGAGCTTCAATCAACACTAGAACTCCAGTCAGGAACTTCAATCAAGCATCTCCTGCGAAACAGAGACTGTCTAATCTACTGAAGATTTTATTTCACTAACATTTTTCTTCTTACAGGTCCCCATGAGATTGTCATCGTCCCATCTCAGCAGGAAGTAGTTTTGAGAATTCCACACCCCCTCTCCCTACTATTGATATTATAGGATAGTTTACATCTGTTAGTGTTAGTTTTCAATTATGTTAGAGTTGGGACTGGAAGGAGGTGTTCAGACTTGCGTGTTTCTTTCAGATAAGTTTAGGTTTAGATGGGATAGATGTTTGAGGTATTTTGTTCATTGACACAAGTTAGTTTTGTTTTAAGTTAAAATATCCTTTATACACTAAAAGGGGAATTGTAGGGTGAAACTTAGTACTCCTGCCATTAGCCATGTGGCATATTAGAGGCAAATACAGATGAGGTAATAAAAGGGCGGTTTACCGCACAGCTAACCACACCCACTTTAGGCATGACTAAAGACATATACGGACTTAGGCGGTAAACTATGTCACTAGCCAGGCCCACTTTTGGGCATGGCTAGAGGCGTGTACAGAGGAAGGAATAAAAGACTGAGCAGCAGAACCTGTTGCCCTTTTTTAGGCTTCCAGTTAGGTGGTGGAAAAATGCTCGGCTCATCTGGGTTTCTCTTGGGAGTAATTTCTACAACAAGTACTTGCCTATACTTTCAATAAGTGTGCCGTTTATCATTGCAGCATCACTTACCCACTAATCATTTTTCTGAATCAGGTTCCAACTTAAGATTATATATTGTATTTAACTGTTTTGTCTCTTTTAAGGCTATTTTTAGTGATGGGTATTTTTGTTTCCGTTTGGTTTTTGGCATCACAGTCCTGGTAACTGAACCCAAGGTCTGGCACATTCTAGGGAAGTGTTCTATCTCTGAGCTATATCCTCAACCCCCTTAGTCTTCTCTAATCCGGGAGAGTTCTTCAGAATTTTTGTCTTCATGACCATAACATTTTTATTTTTGATTCTATTGTTGTTTGTTTTGTTTTTAAAACAAAGTCTCTTTTTGTAGCCCACTGGATTGCAAATCACTATGAAACTATGGAAATTTGTAAGGTTTTAGATTAATCTAGTTGGTTTATTTTTGTTGAAATAGGCTTTTATTGTTGCTGTTGCAGGGTGTGTAGGGAATTGTTGTTTAGTTCAGGTTCCTCTCAAATTTGCCACACAGTTCAGGTGGGCCTTGAACTCCTGATCCTCCAACCTCCACTCCCCAAGTATTGAATAACAGACGTGAGCCACTATCTCTACTTAACATTTTGGTTTCGCTTTTGCTTGAGACAAGGTCTCACTCCCCAGTTCAAACTGGCCCGGAATTAGTAAGCCTCCTATCTCTGGCTCCCCAGTGCTACCTCCATACCTGGCTGAAGTATGTTTTTGAAGAGTATTAGCCAGATGTTTGTTTGTTTTATAATAACCCTCAATTTGGGCTCATCTAATATTTCTTCAAAATTAAGCTCAAGGTATGCACTGCATCTAGGCAGCACAGGATGGCACTGTACCTCCAGGTCAGCATGTGAGGAGCCCAGGGTAACTAGGCCTTTCACTGCTGCTCAAGGAAACTTGGAGCACTTGGTTAACACTTCTCCCCTATAAAATGACTATGTCACTTGAAAACATTGTTTTATTTTACTTATTTCATCTTATTTACCAGGACAGCGAGCAAACTACAGCAAGCATAAGGAGTCAGAAGACAGCTTGGAGGAAGTGGTTCTTTCTGTTCACCATGTGGGTCCTGGAGATCCAACACAGGTCATCAAGCTTGGTGGTAAATATCTTCGTCCATTATACCATCTAGGGAGCATTCTTAAACTATCACTGCCTTGGAATACCACAGACTCATCAAATAAGACTCCTTTGGAGTCTGGCACTGGCCCTGGAAGATGGTTGAATGCCTCAGATTCTTACAAATATCCAGGACTGAAAACCAACAGTGAAAATTAGAATCTGGGAAACCAGCAAAGAAACCGTTTTGAGGGCCTCTCTTCTCACAGCATAACCAATTAAGCAGAAATAACTAAACATGGACTTTGGTTGGGACCCATGGCAGAAGAAAAGGGCAAAACTCCCCTGACTGGAAAAAGTGATAAGTGAGCAAACACAATAAAAAGAGAAGGCCAGCCCCTAGGCAAGCCCAATCCAGTCTTCTCTGCAGGCTTCCGGGAAACCCTTGCTGCAATGAAAGTGCACAGCACATGATGGCTGTAATTGCCACTGACAGCGAGTAACTGCACCCCTGTTACAAACACCCGACCTCGCATCCCAAGGTCCTCCTCCTGACCACGGTTGAAAGCATAATCCACAGAACCCAGGCCAGAGGCGCAGGGACTGTCATCAGGGGGCTTCATCCAGCAGCTGACGGAAACAGATACAGAGTCCCACAACCGATTATTAGGCAGAGCTTAGGGAACCCTGCAGAAGATGGGGAGAAAGATTGTAGGAGCCAGGGAGGTCAAGGACATCACAAGAAAACTCACAGAATCAACTAACCTGGGCTCACAGGGGCTCACAGAGACTAAACTGACACCCAGGGAGCCTTGGTGGGACCGACCTAGGCCCTCTGTTTATATGTGACAGTTGTGTGACTTTCTCTTCTTGTTGGACTCCTAACAGTAGGGAGAAGGGCCTGTCTCTGACTCTTTTGCTGGCTCTTGGGAACCTGTTCCTCAGGCTGGGTTGCCTTGCCCAGCCTTAATACAAGGTGAGGTACTTATTCTTACTACAACTTGATATGCCATGTTTTGTCAATATCCATGGGAGACCTGTCCTTTCCTGAATAGAAACAGAGGAGTGAATGAGGGGTCAGAGGGGAAGTGGCAGGGAGGGAGGGGATGAAATATACATTCTGTGGTAAATATTTTTAATTACCCTTCACATACCTAATACCCTTCAACCATCTAGAGACAGCAGAAGCACTAGATGCTAATACATGGGCGAAATAACTCAGAAAAGAGTGGTGTGGGTGGGTCGGGAAAGTCTGGGAAATGTTTCCAGAGAGAGGAGGACTTGGATTGGGCATTTGAACAGTAGGATTAGGGAAACACACAAGGAGAGATGTAAGCAAAGGGAGCCAGGAACTGGTTACTGTTCTAGATGCTGACTTAGAAGCTCTCAGGGGAGGAGCCTGAATTTTCCCCACTTGCTCATCTTGAGCAGCACAGGGCGTTACTTCAGCAGAGGATGCTGATGCTCAGAAAGGAAGGAGATGGGTCACGGCTGATTCTGCACTTGGAATTAGAAACTACGTGTGTCTAACTCGAGCCCACACAGTTGTCACTACCAGGGAAGAAGATCGAACACAGTTTAGGAAAGGGAAGGAACAGGGATCACTGTGACAGGAAGATGCTATTGCGAAACCAGAAGTTAGGTAAGCTTACTAAAGCGGAGTTATATGTTGCAGGGCCATGAAAACGAGGCAGAGACATTTGACTGAGACCTGTGATTGCCAAAGAATCAGTGAAGGTCAAAGGTGAACAGAAGAGTCGAGTTCTAAACCACAGAAGCTGCTGAACATAACAGAGGAGGCCATGGACAGGGGAGAGTGGGAAATGAACTTAGAAGCAGACCCTGGATTTAAAAGGAAAAGTCATGCTAGGCAGAGCATGCTGGTGCTCACCTTTAACCCCACGTGTCAGGACACAGAGGCAAGGCCATCTCTGCAGTCTCAACACTGAGGCTCTACCTTTAAAAAAGAAAGAAAAAGTTAAATGTCCCGACCCGCAGGACATACAACGTGGGTCTGGTGGACACCTAGGAGAAAGATGGAGGACAGGGGATACAGGAATGGACGCCAAGACAGGATTCTGATCAAGGCGACAACTTTATTTCATCACAAGGGGATTTATATAGGAGAACTGAGGAGGGAAAGGCAGAGGATGTGCTTGCAGCTGCAGGGGCAAGAGGTCAGTGGGAGAGGTGGTCTGCTGCGTTGCCTTGCTACCTAATCTACAGGGCAAGAGGTCAGGGGTAAGAATTCCTATGTTGCTTGTTAACCTGACAGCAGGATCCAATCCTATCTATTACAATTCACTACTGCTCAGGCCTATCTTCTGAGGACCTTGTAGTTTTTCCAATTAAGCTAATCTTTAACTGACTGGTAAACCCCAGGCTTGTTACTTGGAATATGTTTTATGTCAGAAGGGGTGGCAGGGTGGTCTTAGTGTCACGTCTTCTCTATGAGTATGTGATACAGCCTAGCTGGAGGTCCCTGACAGTTAAAGTCTGACTTTATTCTCACTTCATAAATCAACGCAGGTGCACTGAAAATTCATCTCCAAACCCTTGTTACTTCAAGTGTGATCCTCCTACCAGAGCAATGCATTTCCAAATCTTAGCAGCATTAGTGGTGGAGGTACCCAGGGCCAGCCTAGGCAAGAGCAGCAGAGAGAAGAGGCATGCTGGCAGGGAGGGAGGGAGGGAGGGAGGGATGGAGGGAGGGAGGGAGGGACAGTGGAATGGAGGGATGGGGGCTTTCAGGTCCCACTAGAAATATCAGAGTCTGTATTTAAAGAATTACTTTATGTGGTTGTTGTGTGGTTTGTAAACACATTAACATTTGACAAGCTCTTCTCTAAAGTGTCTTCCGATTCTAAATGCAAGTGTGTCACAGGCACAGAAAGTCTGTCACTCTACAGGGACTCATGGGGGACAGTTGACCTAGTCACCAAGTCTACCCAGAGCCATCTCTCCAATCCTTCCCCACTTTCTTAATCCTAGCAGTTTGTCTAATTTGCTCACTAGGAAACACCAGCAGGGCAGTGCTGCCACCTCGTGGCCGTGACTGGTAAAACATGCTTACCCATTCTCATTTGCAGAGCAGGGTGCAGGTTAAGTCCAAGTCACAGATGTGGTAAGAGAATCACAACCGCTCCTACCAACTGCAGCTGACTGTCAGAACATCGCCGAGCGTGGTCACGGTTGGAAGTGAAGGGTTTTCCTTCCCTGCATTTCCGTTCATCTCAGGTGGGGCGCACATGTGCCGCTGTGGAGGTCAGAGGTCAGCTGCAGGTCAGCTCTTCTTCCACAGAGAAATTCCCAGGGACCAAACTCCAGTCCGTAGGCTCAGTGATGAGCGCCTCACCGCAGGGCCATCTTCCTGGCCTGAGAGTGACGTTTATAATTCCCAGCATTGGGTATCAGTGGGACACCTCGGTTCCAGGCCACACTCTAACAATGTCCCCTAGAAATCATCATGACAGGTGTCTTCAGACATCTGCCCTGCCTGAACTGCCAGGAAATCAATGTCGGGTTTCCGGGAACTTGCTCTCAGAGTCACTGTCTCATCTTGTGCTCTCTCTGTTCCCGCCCTCGCCAGGCACGGAAGCCGGCAGGTGCCAGAGAACACCTCCAAGTGCCACCTGCCGCTTTCCAAGTGACATAATCTGAAGACCCTTCTCGCTCCTGTCAGCTTAAGTCAGTGGTTCTCAAACTGTAGGTTGTGATCCCCTTGGGGGGTGTCAAATGACCTTTCACAGAAGTCACCAAAGACTGTCCTGTATATCAGATATTTACATTACAGTTCATAACAGTAGCAAAATTACAGTTATGAAGTAGCAACAAAAATAATTTTATAGTTAGGGGCTATCACAACATAAGGAACTGTATTAAAGGATCACAGCATTAGGAAGTTGAGAACCATTGGTTTAAGCTATGATGTGAGATCTGTCTCAAAACAAAAAGAGACATGTGAATACTTGTGAAGAGCCTTGGGGCTGCCCGCAGTATGGGGTGGGGAGTGGCAGCAGATGTGGGATTTGGCTCTAACTATGAAATGATCCAGAACAGGGAAGCAGGCATCCCTGGGGCACTACAGCTATGGCTAGACTTTCCTAGCATTCAGTTTATGCTGCGGTTTCTTCGCTTCACCTGACCACTGGGAAGTGACAGGCGAGTGAAGGGGCTTCAGATTATGTCTGAAAACACCCTGTGATTATGATTTCAAGGGTGACATTGTTAAGACTGTGGCTTGGAACTTGAGTGTTCTACTGACACCAAATTGTTCAAAATTATAGAACTCACTATGTATATCACAGACTGGTCTTGAACTCACAATTCACTGGGCACTGGAGCAACAAAATCAGATGTATTCCTGCCCTCAGAAATTTGGGTTACAGAAGGAACCCAATTCAAAATTCTCCACCCCCAGCTAGAGGTACTTAACCTCTAGGCCCTAATCACCCAGGACACATTGCAGGCCCCATCTGACCAAGGAAACAAGGAAACCCCAGACACCTGGGGAGAGCCTCCCCACACACCAAAACACCCAACACCTCATTTGCCGCCAGTGGAGCCTTGGCCCCACCCCAACGGGGAGAGGTGAATGCCTGGGCCACAATCCCAGCAGCCTCTCCCCCACCAAAGCATCCTAACCTCTTGGTCCTAATCACCCCTGGCATGTCACACTGCTCCCCACCCCTGCCCACCAGTTACCAAGAGACCTGTGGGTAGCATCCCCACACCGCAAACCATCCAGCACCACATCTGCCTCCATTGGAACCTTGGCCCAGTCCCCACAGGGAGAGGAACAGTGACCACCTAAGCTATAGGCCCCACCTGCACCTACTAGAGGAATGGATGGGTAGACAGTATAAGAATACATTCAACAACATAAAGAGTAAAACGACACCACCAGAGATTACGGGTTCCACACCAGCAAGACCTGAACAACCTAACAAAGACGAAGCAGAAGACAATGACCTTAAAAACATCTTTATGAAAATGAGAGAGGCCCTTAAAGAGGAAATGAGAAACACCCATAGAGAAATGGAGTAAAAAATAAACAAAAATTCAAAGTAATGGAGGAAAATACAAACAAAAAAATTCAAGAAATCAACAAAGAAAAGAAGGAAAACCAAGAAAAAAACAATCAGACATGAAAACTGAAATAGAGACAATAAAGAAAACACAAACTAGCCGGGCGTTGGTGGCACACGCCTTTAATCCCAGCACTCGGGAGGCAGAGGCAGGTGGATCTCTGTGAGTTCGAGGTCAGCCTGGTCTACAGAGCGAGTTCCAGGACAGCCTCCAAAACAATACAGAGAAACCTTATCTCGGAAAAAAAAACAAAAAAGAAAGAAAGAAAACACAAACTGAGGGAATGCTGGAAATGGAAAATCTGGATAAACTATCAGGAACTACAGATGCAAGCATAACTGACAGAATACAAGAGATGGAAGACAGACTCTCAGGTGTTGAAGATACACTCGAGGAAATAGATTCATCGACGAAAGAAAATGTTAACTCCAACAAATTCTTAACACAAAATATCCAGGAAATCTGGACACTGTGAAAAGGCCAAACCTAAGAATAATAGGTATAAGTTGGGCATTAGTGGTGCATGTCTTTAATTCCAACACTCAGGAGGCAGAGGCTGGTGGATCTCTGTAAGTTCAAGGCCAGCCTGGTCTACAGAGCAAGTTCCAGGACAGCCTCCAAGGCAATTCAGAGAAACCCTATCCTGTAAAAAACAAAAAAAAGAATAATAGATATAGAAGAAGGTGAACAATCCCAACTCAAAGGCACAGAAAACATACTCAACAAAATCATAGAAAAAAATTTCCCCAGCCTAAAGAAGGATATGCCTATGGTACAAGAAGCTTAGAGAACACCAAGTAGACTGGACAGAAAATAAAAGTGCCCTCTGTAATGAGATATCTACCCCAAACACTCCTGTTGCACGGAACACACCCATTTAGGCATGGTCACAGGTGCTGATGTGACAGGGGAAGGCTAGGTCTGGTATCCTGACCTCTGAGAAGCTTTAGAAGAGCTGGTTCAGGAACAGGCAAATTCTGGATATATCAGAGAATCTACAAGCCCTTGGAATTCTCCTGTATTAGTTATTAAAAAGAAACTTAGAAAATGGAGAATGCTTACAGATCTGAGAGGCATCAATAAAGTAATTCAGCCAATGGAATCTCTACAGCCTGGAATGCCCTTGCCTTCTCTAATACCTAAATAATAGCTTATTATAGTTTTTGATTTAAAAGATTGCTTCTTCACTATACTATTACAAGAAAAGGATAGGGAAAAGTTTGCCTTCATAGTGCCTACTTACAACAATTCTCAGACAGCCAAAGGATATCAATGGAAGGTCTTGTCAAATGGAATGTTAAATAGTCTCACCCTGTGCCAATATTTTGTGCAAAAACCTTTGGAAATAATTCATAAACAGTTTACACAATAAATAATTTACCATTATATGGATGATATATTGTTGGCTGATTCAAAGGTAGCAACATTAGAAAAAAATGTTTGAGGAAATAAAGGAAGTTTTTACCTCACTGGAAATTACAAATTACCCCTGAAAAAATACAAAGAGAAGAGTCTATCAATTATTTAGGATATATCTACAGAAGATTATACCACAAAAAGTACAGATCAGGAAAGATCGGTACCAGACTCTTAATGGGATTCAAAAATTATTAGGAGAGATTTCTCAGCTACAGACTATTATTGTAGTAGAAGGGCATGATTTGAAAACTTAAGAATGGCCCTAAAAGGGAACAAAGACTTAAATAGTCCATGAATTTTATCAGCTGAAGCTGAAACAGAATTAGAATTGTTAGAATACTAGAAGCACATGTGGACTGTGTGGATCCAGAACTAGACTGTATTCTGGTTATATTACCATCTAGAGAAAGCCCTTCAGGGACTTTGATGCAGAGGCAGATATCATATTAGAATGGATATTTCTATCATATAAACAGAATAAAAAACTTTAAAAATATATAGAAAAGGTCTCTTATTTGATTTTAAAAGGTAAATTAAGACTTTGTCAACTGACAGGAAGGAACCCAGCAGAAATTACAGTACCTTTAACTAACTAGGAAATTTCCTCCTTATGGAAAGATAATGAATATTGGCAAAGGGCTTGAAGTAGCTTTCTGGGAATGATTAGCAATAACTATCCCAAAAGTGAGAGAATCAAAATCATAAAGAAAACAATTTGGATCCTTCCATGCCTGGTTAAAAAAAAAAAAGCACCAATCTCTGGAGTCCCTACATTCTCCACTTGATGGGAGATGTCAATCTGTAAATGTGTCTCTCCTATTGGTTGAATAAAGCACTCTTGGCCAATACGGAAGCACGATAGGTGGGACTAGGGTTTGAGGAGAATTCTAGGTAATGTAGTCCAGAGTGGAGAGTCACCATGTGATCTCACAGGAGGAGAGGGCGCATCAGGAGGGCGTGCTCGGAAAGGTAAGTCCTTATAAAAATATATACTAGTACCTATGGGTTAATAATTAAGTCAGAGCTAGCCATTAAAGAAACCATAGAAAACGGCCAACAGCTTCATAATTAATATAGTGTCTCGTGTGTTACTTGGGGGCTGAGACAGCAGCGGGACCCAGGAGGCTGGCAGGAAGAATACACATTACAGACACATGCAAACAAATCAGGTAAGGCAGGATATAAATCAGGAAATATAAGTAAAGTAGTTCAAAGCCCTTACAACTCTGTAAAACAGGCAGAATTGTCCGCCGTTCTCATGGTACTAATGGATTTTACAGAATATAGTCAATATAATTCCTGACTCTCAATATGCAGAGAGCATCGTCTTACACATTGAGATGGCTGAATTTATTCCTGATGATACAGAATTAACTTCATTGTTTATACAATTACAGGAAACTGTAGGGGTGAGCACACAATACTGTCCAAAGGGGCATGGACAGGGGTACGGGACAGCTGAGGGTGTAAAGAAAAGGAAAAGCAAAAAGCCCTCTCTCCCTCCCTCTGTCCTTCCCTCCCTCCCTCCCTCCCTCCCTCCTTCCCTGTCTCTCTCTCTCTCCCTCTCTCTCGCTGGCCACGCTTCTCATCTTCCCAGCTTGTGTGTAAGTGCTTTCTCCTGTTAATAAAAATACTTGTTTCCCCATTGCATTGATTTCCTCATCAGCTGATGTCAGAAATTTTTACCCAGCCCCCAAAACTTGAGCTTGGGGAGACGAGCCCCTGGGCGACCCCGCTGCTGCCTGTCTGGCATGCTGCACCAATGGCCGTGCCAAAGAACGTCTGCCTGTGGCAGGCCACCTCCTGTGGCAGGCAGGACGGGAATTCACAGGTAAGCCGATCCCTATTTGCACTGCACCATAGTTCTGCCCACAGCATTCTTCCAAAAGCTGTACTGAGCAGCCTCTCCCCAGCCTACAATCAAGCGCGCATGCCCGGTGCACGTGCTCACCCACAGGTCGCTGTCGCAGCTGCCACAGGCTGAGCTCAGGGTCTTAGCAGCTCCACCGCTGGTGCTGTCTCTCTGGGCTCCGCGCTGCGCCTGGCCTCACCCGCAACAGAGCACGGATTTGCACATTCCCGGTCACTCACAGCCTGCCAGGCCCCCCCGTGCCTGCCCGCTTCCCCCACCACTGGTTCAGTGGCCACCAAGCATGCATTAGCAGCTGCTGCCACTTGCTCCCATCAGCGGCTGCACTTCCCTGAGCTGTGCCCCGCACCACTCTTGTCCCCACAAGACTGGGTGCAGCGATTCCAGCACACCCCGAGACCCGCTCACCTGCCCGCCTGCCCCAGCCCAGCTCTGCCCCCCCCCCCCCCAGCTTCCCAATCACCTAGCGAGCTTGCTGCCCGCCTGATCGCCTGGCCTCCCAGAGTTGCACAGATCAACCAGGCCATGCAGCCTGATTTTACCCCTTCTGTCCATAGGATTTCACGGCTACTTATAGCCGCATGTCCCCAGGCCTTTCCCTCCCCAAATCTGTTTGCTAATTTATATACAAGCTGTTGTTAAAATTTTCAGGTTCTTTTTGGTGAAAAATCAATCTTCTGCAGGGAAGCCGTGTTTCCAGAAGCAGTGTTTACACCTCCGCCATCTGTTGGCCAAGCCGGGGAACTACAGGTAAGATTCCTCTCATCAACACAAATCAGAGGTGATTTTTACAATTCAGTACTTTGTAATAGGTGGTAAGAATATCTAATTATATCATGGCAGATGATTTAACACTGCAGAACGTTAGAAATCTCATGGCCAACTGTGGAGAGCTGTGACGTGCTTCCGCCTACCACCCTCCCGACGGTGAGCACTCTCTGAGTAAACAATTCCATATTTGGCCAAGGCTTGGATCCAGGCTTGCTTCCGTGTATGTGGACCTATCTGCTATCGCCAGGTGGTGTGCTGGGGTTGGCTATGCCTAGGCCATATAAGCTATGGGCTGGCTTTCCCCGGGGTCAGAAGACTGTTCAAGGTTCCCGAATAAAACTGCTTGGAGAAGAGTTCCCAAGTCACATCTTCCTTGCTGGTCGAGGCAGTCATGACAACTGGTGGCCCGTATGGGGAACAGCTGAGGTCTCAGAACTTCTTGTGGTCAGGGCAGTGCACTGGTAAGTCCCCAGGTAAGCGGGGTATCCGCGTCAAGACTGGGAAAATAACCACGACAAAAGTGGGGTAAGGACCGCGACAAAAGCAGGGTTTTGTTGCTCCCTCTGTGGATAAAGATGGAGCGTCTTCGGCCTGCAAGAGCGCCAAATCGAAAGTAAAAGGAGTGGAGGTCGTTTATGGATCCTTTTCTGCTCCTGGCTATCTGGGTCTTTCCTTTTTGCCTGCTGCTGTGGAGAGTGCGTTGAAAGTTCCCATTGGACAGGACAACTGGGTTTTCAAAGATTTAAAGATGGGAAACTCTACTTCTCACCCCAATTTTTCTGGCTCTAAGTGAACTGCTTTGTTCAAAAAATTTAAAGATTAAAAAAGGTACTCTAAAACGTTTCTTAGAGGAGTGTGATACCATTGCACCCTGGTTCGCGATCTCCAGAAGCCTTACTATCCCTTCATGGGAAAAGCTAGGCAAGGACCTTGATTTTGCCGCAGATCAGGGGACACTCAAGGCTGGGGTGAGGCCAGTTTGGAGACTGGTAAAGAGCTGTCTTGAGGATCAAAAGTGCAGTGAGGCAGTGGAGAATGGACAAGCAGCCCTAGAAATGTTACAGGAAGAGAGGTCTGGACATACAAGCACTGAAAGGGAGAGCACAAAGGGAAAAGGGGTTTACCCTGACCTTAAAGGCCTGGACGGGACGGATACCTCTGATGCCGAGGAAGGGTCAAAGACAGGGGATGAGCAGGAACAGCGACAGGTGACATCAGCGCTAAAAGGACTAAGGCTAAAGGAGAAGAGAACAGACAAAGGAGGGCCGTCCAGGGGCATTGGCTTGCCTTCTGCTCCCCCTCCCCCGCCCTATAATCACTCAGGCGGTACGGGCACTGGAGCCTCCCGTTGCCCCTAGGTTTGGCGACAGGTCCAGGCTGACTTGCCAGTGGCATTTCCAGTGTTCACTGACCCACAGGGGCAGAGGTATTATGAGCCCTTAGACTTTAAAACAGTCAAGGCCCTGGTGGAGTCGGTGAGAACATATGGGGTCTCTGCACCCTTTACTGTCTCCCTCATGGAAACCCTCACCCGTCTCTGCATAACGCCTACTGATTGGATGAATCTAGCCCACGCCTGTCTCAGCCCAGGGCAGTACTTAGAGTGGAAGGCATTTTTCAGTGAGTTTGCAGAAGAACAGGCGGCAATTAACCAGACTATGGGTGGCCCCGAAAGAGCTGGCTGGAATAAGGAAATGCTCCTCGGCCAGGGTCCCTACACAGTTCAGCAGACAGGCTACTCCATTCAGTTTGATCAGGTTAATCAGATTGCCATTAGAGCCTGGAAATCCACACCCAACAAAGGGGGGGGGGGGACAGGTAACCTCACAAAGGTAATACAGGAGCCCATGGAGCCATTTGCTGATTTTGTTACCCGCATGATTGAGGCTGCTGAGAGTGCTTGGAAATGCCGAGGCAGCCATGCCCTTGATAAAGCAGCTGGTATACGAGCAATGCACTAAGGAATGCAGGACTGCTATCACCCCTTATAAAATAGAGGGATGGAGACATGGACAAAAATCTGCAGGGAACTTGGCAGGCCGCTAACCAATGCTGGCCTTGCAGCCGCAGTAGTCCAGTTAACCCGGGGCACGAAAGGGAACCCGGGTGCCTGCTTTAGATGCGGCAAAATAGGACATATGAAAAAGGAATGTCCAGAAAGAGTGAGGGAGACTTAGTAGGCGGCTTTGACCGTCGGCAGCCTGGTCTATGTCCCAAATGCAGGAAGGGAAAACATTGGGAAAATGAGTGCCGGTCGGTAAAGGATATCAATGGCCGGCCACTTGAGGCAGAGGTCGACAATGCCCGGCAAAAAAATGTCCCGTGGGGCCCCCGCCCTCAGGGCCCACAAATATATGGGGCAATGGAGAATCAGGAAGGAGGATGGGAACGGGGGACTTGGCCAACTCTCCGACACCCCAAGAACCAAGGAGAGCCACTACAGGCTCAGCGGGATTGGACCTCCATTCCACCGCCCGACTCCTATTGACTCCCCAAATGGGGGTCCAGTTAGTGGAGGCAGATTTTCAGGGACCCCTGGAGCCAGGCACAGTGGGGCTTCTCTTGGGAAGATCCTCCACTACCTTGAGAGGCCTCAGAGTGCATCCAGGGATAATTAACCCAGACTATGCCGGCACAATAAAGATCATGGTAGAATCACCCAGGGGAGTGACAGTTATCTCCCCTGGGGACCAGATCGCCCAGCTTTTGCTTTTGCCCAGTCTCCATGAGCAATTCGCTGCACAGCCTAAGAAAAGGGGGAAGATTGTTTTGGATCCACGGGGACAGACCTAGGTTTTCTGTCTCTGGACTTAAACCAGAGACCAGTCCTAGAACTTGACATAGATGGCAAATAGGATCTAGGCTTACTAGATACAGGGAAAGACAGAAGTATAACTGCTAAAAAAGACTGGCCTACAGGCTGGCCCATACAGGCTCTTCTCAAACCCTACAAGGGCTAGGTTATGCACAGGCACCGGATAGGAGTGCTAGACAATTACAATGGAAGGATGAGGAAGGTCATTCTGGCACTATTCAGCCTTACGTCCTGGAACTTCCGGTTTCCTTATGGGGAAGAGATCTTAAAGACATGGGCTTTAGGCTGAGCAATGAATATTCACCTGCTTCCCAAAAAATGATGAAAACCATGGGGTATCATCCAAATTACGGAATAGGGAGGTACCTACAAGGAAGAAGGGAGCCGATCCAAATGCAGCAGAGAGATTCCAGGCAGGGGCTGGGTTTTTCCTAGGGGCCACTGAGGAAGGAATTCCCATTACTTGGAAGACAGAGGAGCCTGTATGGGTTCCTCAGTGGCCGCTGTCCTCTGAAAAACTGAGTGCGGTGAAGGCCCTGGTGGCTGAACAGCTAGCATTAGGACATATTAAACCATCTTTGTCTCCGTGGAACACCCCCATTTTTGTTATTAGAAAAAGGTCAGGAAAATGGCGCCTGCTACATGATCTAAGAGCCATCAATAATCAGATGCAGCCTATGGGCCCAGTACAACGAGGGCTACCATTGCTCTCTGCTTTGCCGGCGTCCTGGCATATTATTGTGATTGACATAAAAGATTGTTTTTTCTCTATTCCTCTTTTTGGAGGGGATAGTGAAAGATTCGCCTTTACTCTTCCATCTCATAATCACGAAGAACCTGATCAGAGATTCGAATGGGTGGTGTTGCCACAAGGAATGGCCAATAGCCCCACCATGTGCCAACTTTATGTTGGGCAGGCCATTAAGCCGCTGAGAAAAGAATTCCCTACCCTAAGACGTTTCCATTATATGGATGATATATTATTGGCTGCAAAAGCAGAAGAGCCACTGAAGAAGGCCTATGTAAAACTAGTGAAATTACTAGAAGGAAAAGGGCTATTTATTGCCCCTGAAAAGGTTCAAAAGGAAACAATTATACATTACTTAGGTCCTAAAATTAATGAGAGTTGTGTAGTTCCACAAAAGGTAGAATTGAGAAAGGATAATTTAAAGACCCTAAACAATTTTCAAAAATTATTAGGAGATATAAACTGGATTAGATGTTTTTTAAGGCTACTGAATTATGAGTTAAAACCTCTGAATGATGTATTGAATGGAGATCCGGCTTCAGATTCCCCTAGGCAGCTGACCCCTGAGGCAAAGCTTGCCCTACAGAGGGTGGAAGAAAGGCTACAAGGTGCCTTTTTACAGAGATGTAGAGAGGGACAACCCATCATTATGTGCATCCTTCCTACTTATTATCAACCTACAGGTTTGCTCTGGCAAGAGGGGCCATTATTGTGGATATACCCCCAAAATATCTCCTGCAAAATCCATTGAGTATTATCCCACTGAGGTGGCAAAATTAGCCTTAAATGGTATCCAACAGTGCCCCTAAAATGATTGTGGTGCCTTATTCCAGTCATCAAGTCCATGTTCTTTGCACCACAATTGATGATTGGGCCATCCTGTAATGCAGATTTAATGGAGATATAGATAATCATTACCCTAAACATCCATTGTTAGGATTTTTCAAGGAACACCCTGTGATTTTCCCAAAGATAACTTCAATCCCGGGTGCCCCCAATGTGTTCACAGATGGCTCCAAAACGGGTTGTGGAGCTTATATGGTGGAGGCGCAACAACCTATACTGCATCAGTTCCACCCCGGCTCCCCTCAACTAGTGGAGTTAAAGATCGTGATAAAAGTCTTCGAGGACTGTTATTTGCCTTTAACTTAATATCTGATTCTGCCTATGTTGTTAATGCTGTGAAAATGTTAGAGGCTGCTGGCCCTATAAAGGCCAGTAGTCCAGTTTGTTTGTTGTTTCAGCAGCTTCAAAATTTAATTTGGTGTAGAAAAATTGCTTTTATATAGCATGTGAGGGAACGCACAGGCCTTCCAGGTCCTCTTAGCGAGGGCAATGATTGGATTGATCAATGGACTAGAGTGGAACTCATTTTCCTTGGCTCCACCCTAGATAAGGCAAGAGACTTTCATAGGAATTTTCATGTGAATACTAAGACCCTACAACAAAAGTTCCACCTTTCCCGAGCTGATGCTCAGCAAGTGGTCCTGGACTGCTCTCAATGTGTAATTCATCATCACCCGCCCAATTATGGAATTAATCCACGGGGGTTACTCCCCCTCAAAATTTGGCAGATGGACGTCACTCACATCTCTGAATTTGGAAATCTCAAATATGTACATGTGTCTGTGGATACCTGCTCAGGTATCATGCATGCGACACTCTTGACAGGTGAAAAGGTGTGCAATGTTATAACACATTGCCTTGAAGCCTGGGCTGCCTGGGGCAAACCCAGCCAGCTACAAACTGACAATGGACCAGCCTACACGGCACAAACCTTTGCCTCCTTCTGCCAGCAAATGGAAGTACAGTTACTCCATGGATTGCCCTATAACCCTCAGGGTCAGGGTATTGTGGAGCGTGCCCATCGCACCTTGAAAGAATGTCTAGAAAAACAAAAAGGGGGAGTAAGCCAAGGCCGCACCCCTAAGGAAAGGCTTTCTCTTGCCTTATTCACTATCAATTTTTAAAATTTGGATGCCCAGGGACACTCTGCGGCTGATAGACATCAGGATCCACATGGCCCAGTCAAAGGGATGGTGAAGTGGAAGGATATTCTGACAGGCCTCTGGCGCGGGCCTGATCCCGTGCTGACATGGGCACGAGGTTCTGTTTGTGTTTTTCCACAGGACCAGCAAGATCCAGTGTGGGTCAGAAGGATTCAACATGGAGGACATCTCAAGCGCCAGCATGATGACCCTCCTACTCCTTCTCATGATGAGCCAGCCGGAAATGGCAGCACAAAGATGGGGTAGTCTGTCGGTATTCCCTAAGCCCATGCCGGTGATGCATAATGCGAGGGTTTTATCATGCCTATTTGTTACCAATCGCAGCTTAGATCTCCCCTTTTTACCCCGAGATGAGCAGATCAGCCCCATTGAGGATGCGCGCCATTTTGATTTGCAGGGCAGCCTATGTTTCTCTCTATTAAGTAATACAAGCTCAGGGTGCATTCTCCTCAAGTACCAAGCCATGGGGGAGGGGGGCGCAGGCTGGGATGTGTCACAGGGAAGGAATGTATCCTGGATTCAGGGGTGGTGGCCTGCCAAAGAAGGATCTGGTTACCCACCATTCCAACCCATGTGGGCACCCTTTTGCGTAGAGGGCCCTCAGTGCCAGGGAAGCCTTCCATGGTCAGGCTGCCAGAGTAGGGAGATCATTTGGGCAAAGGAGAATTATTTCTCCTTCTCCCCTGATATAAGTGTAAACAGTTCTCAGGCACCTGTTAATGAGTCTTCCCCACATTGGTATAAGTTAGATGCCTTTAATATATGGCTGTTAGGTGGAATCAACGGGAATTGTATGGATTTATCTCCTTTGGCAATGGTTGGGGGACACTAGGAATCTCTACCCACTCCTAAAAGAGTGGAGGAGATGTAACCTCAAGTTCCCCCTTTCAGTGGAAGAGCATTAATAATACCACCTTTTTACCCACCCCTGTGTGCGTTTGGCCGCCATTTGTATGGCTGGTGAGCAATGGTAGCACAAATGCCAGTGAACTCCATTGTAATCAGACCACATGCTTTTATGTTCTGTGCTGGAATGCTATGGCCTTCCCTCTGACGATGGTTACCACTTGCCTCGTTATGTGCCTGTGCCCGTGGAAGCTCCCAGCAGTTTGACATAGTTTAGAGAGATGTGAGATTTTGGCATAACAGCAGCCATAGTGACAACCATCACCGTTGCTGCTGTGAGTGCCACTGTTTCCGCGGTGGCCTTGTCAGGCACGGTGCAGACTGCAAATGTTCTAAATAATCTCTCTGCCAATGTTGCTAATGCATTAGACCTCCAAGCTTCGCTTAATTCGCAGGTCAAAGGAGGTCAAATCAGTGCATAGATTTAATGCAGGAACAGATTGATACTCTGTGACAGTTAGCCCAACTGGGATGTGAATGGAGAATGGCTGGACTATGTGTTACATCAGTACAATATCAAAATTTCACTCACGCGGTGAACCTGTCTAAAAGGTTGTCTCAGTTTTTATTACAGAATTGGACATCTGAGTTTGAAGATACCATGAGAGAACTCCGGATGGCTATTGTGCATGTGAACTCCATTCAAGTAGACCTGTCCCTTGCTAGTGGCCTGTCTTCCTGTTTAAATTCCGCCATGGACCATCTAAAGGAATGGGCGGGCCTGGGGGTGCTTACAGGCCTTTTGGTACTGGTCTCCCTGGTTTGCCTATGGTGTATTTGCAAGATTAGAGTCACACAAAAGCGTGATGCAGCCATGATCACCCAAGCCTTTATGGCCATAGAGGCAGGACAGTCCCCCCAGGCCTGGTTGACCGTTATTAAGAACTGAAATTCCTCTCCGACCGGGGTGCAAGGCTAAGCGCTGCACGAGGGTTTGCTTGTAAGCAGTTAAGCTACCCTCGGAAGACAAGCCGATTGCATGAAGGTTGTACCCGAGATCCTTCCCCTGGGAAAATAGGTATGGGATGGGTCTGGGCCACCGTAGGCATAGAGTCTGTGGATGTCACCAGCACATTATCCCAGGTCTGCACACCAGGGATTGGGCCTCTATCTTCACCCATTCTGTCTTTAATTAAAGAAGGGGGAACTGTGGAGAGCTGTGTCGTGCCGCACCTTAAAGATGGCGCCGGCTTCCGCCTACCACCCTCCCAACGGTGAGCGCTCTCTGAGTAAACAACTCCATATTTGGCCAAGGCTTGGGTCCACAGCTTGCTTCCGTATGTGTGGACCTATCTGCTATCGCCAAGTGGCGTGCTAGGTTGGCTATGCCTAGGCCATATAAGCTGTGGGCTGGCTTTCCCCGGGGTCAGAAGATTGTTCAAGGTTCCTGAATAAACTGCTTGGAGAAGAGTTCCCGAGTCACGTCTTCCTTGCTGGTCGAGGCGGTCACGGCAGCCAATGTTAAGTATTAGAGACAAGTATGATATATTTTAAATGTATTTGTGTCTAATGCTCACGGTTAGCGTTCTAACATATATAATCACATGGAAGAGAGTGAGAAAAACAGATGGATAAACAAATTGTACAAATAATTCAAAAATTAAAGTAAAAGATTCAGGATCTTCAGGAAAAAGAGAACTTAGCCTCCAGAGCGGATAATTTGGAACTTAATCAGAACAACCTTAAAAACACATCTGATTCAATATCCATTGCATTTAAGGCCAAAATAGAGTCAAGCCACGAGGAAGTTACCGAATTAGCCTGGACAACTCACTCTGTGTCTGAAGACAATGGTATTTAGCAGACAGGATGAAATTTCTAGAAGGCAACTTACATGCCTTTCAAGCCTCTAATGACGACAATATGAAATGCTTGGAATCATGATTGACTGATGAGTCCAAGGAACATACAGATTCTATCAAGCCACTGGAACAATTTTTGATTCAGGAAATCCAAGCACTCAAAGATGATATGGTCACAACATTGCAATCTTTAGAGGATTCACCATTTGAAACATCAGACTCTGAGGCACTAGCCACTAGGCCACCAGGCAATGAAAGAGGTATAGTTACAAGACGCCTAGGAGATCTTAAGGCCAGCATCACGAAGGCATCAAGATGGGACCATCATTTATCAGTGGGAACCTATACAGATGAAAGACCTGAAAGGAATAAAGCAAGATATTGTGGCTTATAGGGTCCACAGCCTGTATGTAAAGGAATTGCTGAATTCTTGGGCAAGGATGAACAGAATCACTCACACAGATTGGGGTACTTTAATATCAGTGGTGTTGGACCAGTCTTTCCAAGTACAATGGAAGGCTTTGTGGAGATAAGAAGCCAAGGCCCTCGAACTTCAAGGCTTGAAGTACAGCTTTGAAGCTTCCTAAGATAAGATTCTTGGTGAAGGTGATTCAGCTGATCCACAGGCCCAAGCAGAGTTTGATGAACATACACTATCCTTATGTCACACAGTAGCTCTGAATGCTTTGAATAAGGTTCTTGAACCAGGAGAAAAAATTTGAACCATATTCAAAAGTGGTACAGGATTCTAGGGAAACGTTCCCTGAATTCTTACAAAGATTACCCAGAGCAGTAGACTTACAGGTAGCTGATTCAAATACTAGGCGACTCCTTATAGAATTTTAGCTTATGAGAAGGCAAATACACAATGCAAACAGGTCCTGTGGCCATTAAAGATCAGATCAGCGCCATTGGACAAATGGGTCTTTTATACAGCTAATACAGTATGATGGTCCAGAGACAGGAACCTGGGTAGAAGAGGCCATTTCTAAAGGCCTAAAGAGGCATCAAAATGACAAATGGCCTAACCGTTGGAGAGGTAATATCCAGATGTTTTAACTGTGGTAGAATAGGACATCTGAGTAGGAACTATAGGCAAAGCATCTCTAGAAATAATGATTCTCCTAGGAATGATTCAAACAGAAGGCCTCAGCCTTCTGGATTATGCAGGCGATGTGGCAAAGGCTGACACTGGACCAATGAATGTAGGTCGACCACAGACAAACAAGGTAACCCTTTACAATCTCCTCAAGGGACCTCTTGAAGGCCCTCACTTCAAAAGTGGTCCAGTCATTCCCAGGCACTGTAGATTTCTCTCAGGACAATTAGAAGATCCACTGCCTATTGTAAAGACTAATGGATGACAGATTGGTTATTGAGGATGAACCAGTTTATACTAGAGGAAATGAAAAATGTGTATTTTGAGAGACTTCTATCAATGACAAGAGGCCAATGACAAAAGTACAGATAAATAACATTATTCTGGAAGGCTTGCTTGACACAGGAGAAGATATTTCTATTTTAACTCGGGAATCTTGGCCTAAAAAAATGGCCTTTACAAGTTGTAAATGTCCAATTGTCAGGGATGTGGACCCTATCCCAAGTAAGACAAAGTACTAGATGGGTAGAGTGTATTAAACCAGAAGGACAAAGAGGAAGATTGAGGCTATATGTCACAGATATTGCTATAAATATCTGGGGTTGTGATTTATTACAGCAATGGAATACCCAGATTAATATTCCTCCTGTGTCAGATATGAATCATAAGCAAGCTTTTAGTGGCAAAAAGAATATTGTAAAACACTACAGTAAACAATCACAGAACATACAGGCTGTACAGTTACAGGATGCTAGTGACACACTTATAAATGAACCAAAAGTACTACCTTTAAAATGGCTAACAGATGAACCTGTCTGTGTAGGGAAATGGCCTATGACCTCTGAGAAGTTAGAGGCTTTAGAAAAGCTAGTTCAGAAACAGCTAAATGCTGGACATATTGAAGAATCAACTAGTCCATGAAACTCCCCTGAATTTGTAATTAAAAAGAAGTCTGGGAAATGGAGGATGGTTACTGATCTGAGAGCTATCAACAAGATAATACAAAAGAGGAGATTCCATTAATTATTTAGGCTATAAAATAGACTTACAGAAAATTAGACTGCAAAAGATATAGATCAGAAGAAATCATTACCAGACTCTTAATAATCTTCAGAAACTACTAGGAGAAATTTCTCAACTACAGACAATTATTGGAGTAGAAGGGCATGATGTAAAACACCTGAAAATGGCCCTAAAAAGAGATAAGGTCTTAAATATTCTGGTTATTTTGCCATCTGGAGAATACCCCTCTTGAACATTAATACAGAGGAAAAACATAATACTAGGATGGGTATTTCTGCCACATAAACAGAAGATATATATAGAAAATATCTGATTTGATATTAAAAGATAAGTTAAGGCTTCATAAACTAAATGGAAGGATAATGAATACTGGCAAAGAGCTTGCAGGGACTTTTTGGGAATGATCAATAAAAATTATCCCAAAACAGAGAGAATCAAATTCATAAAGAAAACAATTTGGATTCTTCCACACATTTTAAGAAAAACGCCTATCTCTGGAGTTCTTATATTCTACTTATATGCAAACAAGTCAGGTAAGGCAGGTTATAAATCAGGAAATGTAAGTAAAGTAGTTCAAAGCCCTTACAACTCTGTGAAAAAGGCAGAGTTGTACACCATTCTCATGGTACTTAAAGACTTTACAGAGCCTCTCAATATAGTTACAGATTCTCAGTATGCATAGAATGTCGTTTTACACATCGAGACTGCAGAATTTGTTCCTGATGATGCAGAATTAATCTCATTTTTTATTACAATTACAGGAAACCATCAGAAACAGAACTCATCCTATATATATATAACACACATCAGATCCAATACAGGTCTGCAGGTCCTCTAGCACAAGGCAATGATGAAATTGATCGTTTATTAACAGGAAGTGTGTTCGAAGATTCAGAATTTCATAAAAGCACCATGACAACAGCAAAGGTTTAAAGTATTTTCCTATCACTTGGCAACAAGCCAAGGCAATAGTAAGAAACTGTCCCACTTGTTCATTCTATAATCAAACTCTATTACCAGCAGGTAGCAATCCCAAAGGTATTCTCAGAAATGAAATTTGGCAAATGGATATATTTCACTTCCCAGAAACTGGCAGTCTGAAATATGTACACCATACCATAGACACATTCTCAGGATTCCAATGGGCTACTGCCCTCAGCTCTGAAAAGGCTGATTCTGTTATAACACATCTCTTAGAGGTGATGGCTGTTATGGGTATACCTGCACAAATAAAAACTGACAATGCTCCAGCATATGTCTCCAGTAAATTGGAACAGTTTTTCAAATATTATAACATAAAACATGTAACTGGTATACATCACAATCCTACAGGACAAGCAATGGTTGAGAGATCTAACCGCACCTAAAAGAAATGCTTCATAAACATCCAGGGGGAATAAAGGCACCTCCAAACACAGATTACATAATGCTTTACTAATATTGAACTTTCTTAATGCTAATGAAAAATGACAAACACCTGCAGAAAGACACTGGGCTGAAGGAAAAAACTTCTGAACTAAACCAACTGGTGTATTTCAAGGATGTTATGACCTCAGTTTGGAAACAAGGATATGTGTTACATTGGGGAAGGGGTTTTGCTTTTGTTTCCACAGGAGAAGAAAAACTTTGGGTTCCATCAAAATTAGTCAAGATTCGATCTCAACAGAAGAAACCTCAGGAGGAGGAAAGATAACACTCATCTACAAGGTCATATTCTACTATGTGTAAGGAGACCTAATAAAAGGAAAGAGAACTGTTTTGTTTTTGTCTTCACAGGAAAACTCATCTCCAAACAGTGAAACAATACTGGACGTATGGATACCTGAAGAAGAGAGACTAGCTACCCAGAGGACCATCAAACAAACAATAATCCACAGTGTGGTATAAATGTCTAAATCTCTCTATCTTGTTCTTATAATATCAATTTCTCTTTGCTTCTTAATATTCTTTAGTCCCAATTCATTTAACTGAAGCTGGCTTTGGAGTTGGATTGACTCTCCTACTCTAAATCTAAGCATGTTGTTAAAATAAAATTCAGAATTTCTGTATTATGTCAAAGAGCCATTGATATAAGACAGAAGAAAACAAAACTAGGGACTGTCATCTGTTTATACTCAGTTCCTTTTCTGAAAGTCTAATCTCCTTCACGTTTACTATCTTCCTTATTGTTGCCTTTGCCGTTATGCATATATATAAAAGCTGGAAATTTCTCTGTTAACATTAATGTTTGAGTTTTCCAGAGAACAGGGAATTTCCTGATAGCAATCTTCAAACACATCGGAAAGAAAATGGGGCCCCACTTCATTGACTCCACCTGATTCAACTTGATGCATCTGAACTGCCCCACATCATCAACTCCACTTGACCAGTACCATCCTGAAACCTGTTTGGAACTACATCGCTCAACACAACTCCGGACCAATGAAATGATATGGTGCACCTTCTACAATCTGGCCAGGGCTTCAGTCAAGAGCTTCAATC